CCACTCCCTTGACCAGCTCCAGCATCCTACTCCTTTCCTCCCACAATCTCCAGCTGCGACGCCCCTCCGCCATTACTCCCTTGCGGCAATTTGAAGTCTCCGAAGACATTGAATGGAAGTAGAGCCCATCGAAATGGTGGATCTAGGAGACTGGAAGGAGCAAAGATGACGATATGTCCCCATGGCTCCAAAGCCAAGTTCGCGCGGAATCAAAAAGGAGCGAACGATTGCTCCAAGCTGAGTCAGCAATCATTGTGTGCGGAGATTCGTGCAAAAATCCGATGGTTGCCGCCGCGTCCCGCGGGAGTCGTTGTGTGCTGATGTTTGCACATTAGCATTTGGTGTGAGAAAAACGGAAAGTGCGCTACTGGCAACATAGCGGGCGGCTATAATCCAGCGGCGACCGCAATCTGAGCGATCATTGGTAGAAACAGTATAACGGCAGAAGATTCGCTACCATCTATCGCGCGCTGTGGGCGCACCAAACTGTTCAAACTTCAAACACTACGGCTCAATATATACTGGATCTCAGCCCCGCACTCCCGCATCAGGCTAGGTCCGGCGACACGGCCGGACATGGCATCCAATTCCACACCATCAAGCACCCCCGCGAGCAAGGTGCCGAAAAGCCATCGCCGGCGCCGAACGAAGCGCGCCCGCGTCGGCGATGGATCATCCGCCGCCGCAGAGTCGACGGTGCACGCCCCCGCCAGCGAATGGTATGATCTGCATTTGCCTTTCCGTTTCATTCTTTATCCAAAAGCTTATCGTCTGTCGCGCCGGCCTGACTCGATGCTTCGTCCATTTTCTGGCCGCGCGCAGGCGGGACTGGGCGAGCCTGGGGTCCGGACCGGCGTGGCTGATCGCGGACCGCGTGCTCTCCCGCGACGTCGCCGACTACGTCCGCTTCCGCGCGTCGAGCAAAGCGTGGCGGCGTTGCACGGCGGACCCGCAGGCCGACGCCCTCGACCCACGGTTCCACCCGCGGTGCTGGACCATGCTCCAGGACGTTGTGAGCCGCGGCCTTCGCTACCGGTACAGCCGCTTCAAGAACGACGCCACCGGCGAGCACATCCGGATGACGATCCGGGGGCTGAACGGCCGGGACGGCCGCACGCACCTCGCGCGCACGTCCCAGGGCCTCCTCGTCCTGCTCAACAAGAAGACCGACGCCGTGTTCGTGGTGAACCCGGTCACCGGCGCCCGCGCAGACCTGCCGCCGGTGACCGCGCTGCTGTCCGGCTTCTGGCGGGCCGATGTTTTCCCGAGATGGCCCCACGAGGTCCACTTCGGCGTGGAGCTGACCTACGATTCCGCGATCGTGATCAATTTGCACGGGCTGCTGGGCGTCGCGAGACCCGGCGACGAGCGCTGGGCAGAGGTGGAGTGGGAGGACCCGATACTCGGACCAGTCTTGTCGTTCGCAGGCCGCGTGTACTGCTTCGTGGATGACGCTGCCATGGTGCTGGAGACCTCGCCGGACCACCCGCCGAGGCTGTCCAAGGCTGATCATAATCCCTTCGGTTCAGTGCCGTGACCGAGGCCTGGCCTAGTTGCACTTGGCAGCAAAAACTTTGTTGTTTTTAGAGTAGCTACTAATAACTGGCACACAAATGTCAGCAATTCGGCACAAACTTCAAACTCCAGAGACTTCGTGTTTTTTATATGAATGTTTTGATCAAGTTCTTCCTTCCTACACTGTTACAGTACACATGTTCCTCGTGCTCGAGCGCCGATCCCCAACCGCGAATCGATTCGTTCTCTTCTTAGCACGTCGGGGTCGATGCATCGATCGATCAGATATCAACCTACATGTACATGTACATCACGAGGCCATGGCCTCTGAGCGAGTGGCACGGTTCAGCTACAAGTGGGGCATGACCGACTCCTCGTGCTCGGGCCGGTGGAGGTTGTGCAGGATGTAGAGGGAGGCCGAGGAGAGGAAGATGCAGACCGAGTAGCTGAGGAGGTCCAGCCCCGTGGTGATCTTCACCATCTTGCTCCGCTCGAACATCTTCACCAGCAGGATCATCACGATGACGTGCCCCACCTTCGTCTTGAGCTCGTCCAGCGACGTGATCTTCATCCACTTCGGCCTCTCCTGCAACAACGACGGCACGAGACGAACAAAGTTCAGGTTTCTGAATCTGAATTTGTACTAACAAAACTTGTTGAATGCTTTGACTGGGATCGGTATCACCTTGAGAGCGAACATCCCAAACAGCGACGATCCCTGCAGAGCCCGGTCGGATCCGGAGGGTAAATCGTTGGACGCGTTGCTGATGAACAGCCCGTAGAGGCCCATCCCGAAGATCAGCATGACAGTTCCAGCAAGATACACATCTGCAACAGCAAAGTGAAAAAATTTACAGTGTCAGTAGCAGTTGGTGTAAATCCAGTCATCATGTGTATCAATTCGACAGAGAATATTTCAGTTACCAATGGCCTCGACGACCTTGAGGACCATCTGCCCTGTATGTACACCTTTGGCGCAGCTCGTCCAGTAGACGCAGTACGCCTCTTTTATGTACACACATCCCTGATCACCAACCGATACAAGATTCTTAATTACATCCATCTGAACGATGTTACTCACTAATAACAAAGTCAAAAAGTAGTGTAATTATGTCTGGTTATCTGAATCGTGAGGAACTGCAGAGATGAGACTGAGAGAAGTTACATTGAGGAAGCAGAGGAGGGAGCCCGCCAGCGATCCGGCGACGGCGAGGAGAGCCAGGAACCGGAAATCGAAGATGATCTGCGCGAGGAACAGCATCAGCCCAGGCGCCATACCACGCAAACGATAGGCATAAGATGCGCGTCCGCGTGCTTACCCTCTCGACGGTGGTCTCGATGGTCGTGGACCTAGCGGTGCCGGAGACAACGGCGCCGTTGGTCCCGCCGTAGTCGAGCGCCTTGGCCTTGGACCCCTCCGAGCCGCGCAGCACCGCGTCCACCGCGGCGGTCGCGCCGTCGCCCCCGGACGGCGAGGACGCGGCGGCCGAGGCGACGACCGCGCCGAACCGGGACGGCCGGCGGTAACTAACCAGGCTCGTCGTCTCCCCTCGCCGAAACGCCGGGGCGGTGGCGTTGACCGGCGCGAGGCAGCCGCGCAGCAGCAGTAGTGCCATGACCCACGCCGCGCGTAGCGAGCGTTGCTTGCCGGACAATGCGCACGAGCGAGGAGTGAGGCGACCGGCTGGCTGCTCGGGACTGTGTGGCTGGCTGGCGCGGTTGTTTTCGAGTGGAGTGGAGTGAACCGAGTGTGAGGAGAAGAGAGGTTTATCGGGGGCATGAACGACGACGACGACGTCGCTGTCGGCGATGTGGTTTGTAGCACATGGCGGCGAGCAGTTTGTGGCGCGGAGGTTTGTTGCTTCTCGGGCCAGCATCATCTCACGGGCCGACATCCAAAAAATCGAGGGTACAAAACTGAGCTTGCTCGACTCGAAGAGTAGGTCAACATAGTGCTAAACTTATCGTCCCATGACTTTTTCAAAAGTATAAAAATGGTCGTTCAACTCAAAAAACATGAAAAGCCCCTTAATTTTTAAAACCGGATAATTCAAAAACCAGATTGACCTGCGGGCTCTACTATGAAATTTTTCAATTCCGGTGATGCAGTTCCCTGCAATATCTTGGCCTGCCATTGCACCTCAAAAAAAGATAACCAGAGCTGATCTGCAACGAACCTTTGACAAGCTCGCTTCGAGGTTGCAGCCGTGGAATAAGGATTTGCTTCCTAGCAACGCTCGCCTTCAGCTTGTTAACTCGTTCTCTCTGCTATTCCCTCATACCTCATCTCAAGGTGTCATTTTTCTTAAAAAAAAGAGAGAGCTTCCTCTCCAATTTTCATATATCAGAAACCACATTGTCTTTCCTAAACAAACCACCAGCAACATCATCTCCATGCTCAGGCTGGACATTTGGACCATCAAAAAAGTCGACAAGTTAAGGCACGATTTCTTATGGACATCTAATCAGATGCTTCTGGAGGGCATGGCCTTAGTCCATTGGGCAACTGTCTGCCGTCCAAAGAACTTGGGGGGCCTCGGTGTCTTGGATCTGCGTTTCGATCATGCTCTCTGTCTTTGTTGGAAATAGTACGAGTGGATGAACGTTGACCGGCCTTGGGTAGGTTCTCAGACCCCTAGTGACGCTGATGGTATCACTCTGTTCCAAGCAGCAACGTCCATTCTCTAGGCAATGGCTACAAGACCTCATTCTAGCATAATAGATGCCTCCAGCCTTCATGGCTCCTCACCTGCCACCTTTAAGCACTCGCAAGAACATTTTGGTCCAGCGGGCACTTCACAATCACCTCTAAGCTGGGTAAATTCACCCAATTCTGGCAGTTGATTCAGCAGGTCCAGCTGCAACCAGATTCAAAGGATGTTGTTTTGTGGAATTATTCCAACTCAGGTGTTTACTCTGCTCACTCTGCACTTTCATTGGCTCGTACTCCACTTGCAACTTCTCCAAGCTCTGGAAAGATAAGGTCGAGCACAAATGGCACTTCTTCACTTAGCTTTCCGTTCGTGGCTACTCCCTCCGTTCGGAATTACTCGTCCAAGAAATGAATGTATCTAGATGTATTTTAGTTGTAGATACATTCATTTTTGTGACAAGTAATTCCGAACGGAGGGAGTAGATCCTCTCCAATGACAATCTTTCCACCAGGGGATTGGCCAACAATCAGTTGTGCAACCTCTGCGACTAGGTTGCGGAAACTCCTCTACATCTCATCCTCAAATGCTCCTTTGCCAAGGAGGTTTGGCTGATGGTGGCAGATTGAAGTGGCTTCCCAGACCCATTACTAATGATGATCTGACCACCTCCATTTCATCTTGGTGGAATGATTTCACCTGCCCATGGACGACAAACACATTTCCTCAGCTATCTACACTTGTTGGAACCTTTGGAGAGAGGGGAATAGGCAGGTGTTTGAGCACACTTTCGTGCAAGGTCCTTGAGTTCTACACCTGATTAAGCAAGACTTGCTACTGCTAACTGTGAAAATGAACCTCCCCTAAGCCTGACTAATGTAAGCTCTATTTCTGTTAAGTGCGTGATGCATTTCTGCGGCCATAGGTTGTGCTTTGTAATCCTACTCCTCTAAGATTATCTATTCTTAATCATAGGCCATCATTGGCAGTTCCTCAAAAAAATCCTCAAACCTTCTCCCTATTTTAAAAATTCAAATCTTTAGGTTATACATAAAGTCAAAATTTTAAGAGATTAAAATTTTGCTGAGCTAGCAGACCCCTATAGTTCAATAATCCCCTAAATTTTTGGTTTGTTAATTCTTCCAACCTTTGGTCAAACAATTGAAACAAAATTATCACATTTCAAAGCAAACATAAACAATTAAAATGCATCATATCATAATTGAAGTAGGGCATAAATAAATTTCATCCAATCAATCAAACCATAACTATAGTTTCTATTAAAAGGCACCAAATTAACAAGTTCGCTAAAAAACCCCAACACATGGTGAACCAAGAGCCATCCTAGCATGGACCTCATGCAATTGCATCATCACAATCGGCACCACCACCACCACCACACATCTTAGTCAGGATGTCCCCACGATCGAACTCCCAATATTATTTTGCCTTCTCATCCATGTTGCTAGGATCCATGAGCATGATAACTGAAGGAAATATGCCCTAGAGGCAATAATAAAATTGTTATTTTATATTTCCTTATTCATGATAAAGGTTTATTATTCATGCTAGAATTTTATTGATCGGGAACTTAAATACATGTGTGAATACATAAACAAATACCGTTTCCCTAGTAAGCCTCTACTAGACTAGCTCGTTGATCAAAGATTGTTAAGGTTTCCTAAACATAGACATGTGTTGTCATTTGATAACATGATCACATCATTAGGAGAAGGATGTGATGGACAAGACCCATCCGTTAGCTTAGCATATTGAAGTTTATTGCTATTGCTTTCTTGATGACAAATACATATTCCTTAAACTATGAGATTACGCAACTCCCGGATACTGGACGAATACCTTGTGTGCTATAACATCACAACGTAATTGGGTGATCATAAAGATGCTCTATAGGTATCTCTGAAGGTGTGTTTGTTGAGTTGGCATAGATCGAGATTAGGATTTGTCACTCTGAGTGCAAGAGAGGTATCTCCAGGCCCTCTCGGTAATACACATCATAAGAAGCCTTGCAAGAAAAGTGACTAAGGAGTTAGTTGCAAGATGATGTATTACGGAACGAGTAAAGAGACTTGCCGGTAACGAGATTGAACTAGGTATGAAGATATCAACGATCGAATCTCGGGCAAGTAACATACCGATGGACAAAGGGAATTACGTATGTTATCATAAGATTCGACCGATAAAGGTCTTCGCAGAATATGTAGGAGCCAATATGGGCATCCAGGTTCCTCTATTGGTTATTGATCAGAGAGGTTTCTCGGTCATGTGTACATAGTTCTCAAACCCGTAAGGTCCGCACGCTTAACGTTCGTTGACGATATAGTGTTATATGAGTTATATGATTTGGTAACCGAATGTTGTTCGGAGTCCCGGATGAGATCACAGACATGAAGAGGAGCTCTGGAATGGTCCGTAAGTAAAGATTGATATATATATATTATATATATATATATATATATACAGACGGTCTATTCTGCTAATATTAGCAGAATAACTATTTTGCACACCACTTCGGCACTGCACGCTGAACAGAAGCGCACTGCATCATTTTGATAACGAGCACTGCAACAGAGACTAGTGAACTTCGCGTCAAAAAAAATTACATGCAGTGTTTTTCTGGTACTGTTTTCGCTCTAGTTTTTTAATCGTTTATCGGAACGAGGCGTATAATATACCGTTAAAAAGCTATGGATTAGGCGCAACTTCGCCATGTTGAACACTTTTCGAGATTCCTTGCGGTTTAAGAGCAGTTTCAAAAACGGCGCGGCGGACGATGAGTGGCAGCGAGCATTTTTTCGTGATTTCTTCTAAACCGCTCGTCGGAATGAAGCAAACGATACGCCCTTGGATAGATATCGTCGAGGCGCATCTTTTCCATATATAAATCTTTCTCTAATTCGTTACGGTTTAAGAGCAGTTTCAAATTTACTAAATCGCGGAATTCTGTTTTTTCAAATTTTTTCAAATTTTCGGTACTGTTTTCGCTCTAGTTTTTAAACCGTTTGTCGAAACGAGGCGTGTAATACGTCGTTGGAAAGCTATGGACAAGGCGCAACTATCATATGTAGGAATGGTTTTGAGATTCCTTACGGTTTTAAGTTAATTTTGAAAATCGTGCGGCGGAGGACGAGTGATAGCGGTCGTTTTTTTGAAATTTTTACAAACCGGTTGTCGAAATGCTTCAAATGATATGCCGTTGGAAAAGATATGGACGAGACGCAACTTTTTCATGTAGAACATTCTCTCTAATTCTTTACTGTTTAAGAGGAATTTTGAATTTACCGAAATGCGGACACTCTGTTTTTCGCGACACCCAAATCGACGTGCATACTTCATCCGACTAAAAACCGCACTGCATCGGACGAAAAACCACTCTGCATCAGACGGGTAAGAGAACTGCATGATTTCTTTAATTCAAACATAATTTTTTTAAGGACGAGAAAGTAGAGTGCACTTCACATCGGGTGTAAATGAACCACAACACTACCAAGAAATGAACCGCATTACTTTTTTTGCTTCCGTAACAATTTTTTGCACTTACGGGATGAACAACATCATACAACCGATCGCACTGCTTCAAAATGAAAAC